TAGTTTAGACGAACTTAAACTCCCTGTTAGCAAATAATCTTAGTTAACTTAACGACGAACCGTTTAAGCTAACAACGCATTCAATGAATGTATTACTATTCACATGACGCTTAAGTCCAATTCTACCAAGAGCTTCAAGATAAACGGGGTCATGTAATTCTGTTGGTATAAGTTGTTCAATATCTTCGAAGACTAAATGGAATAAAGGAATAGATCTGTCATATAAATCACTAGCCTTCACCAAAGCTTTGAGTGATTTATTAGGAATTACTGGTCTTGCTTTAAAATATTGCTCAATTTTACGATTCCCCGAGATTAAAATATTCTGCAAGAAAATTATATATTCTTGGGGAATTGGTGTCATGTAATATTGAAAATGTTCGTGTTCAAAAATAAATTTAATATACTCTAAATCATTCATGGGTTCGTCATTTAAGTTGAAGAGCGTAGGAAAATCTTGTTCATCACATTTGTAGAAATCGATATCTTGCTGAAAAAAAAAGAATGGAAGATGGTTGGGAATGAGAATTCCTGATTTGGCACTAATATACTTGTCGCAAGAATGTACTGGCCATATTGGCAACGAACAAAGAATTTTCATAAATTTTTTATGTTTTTCTTTTTCACCATGTTCTAATATGCAAGACGTTAAAATACAATTATTATAATTATCATACACATAAAATATTATTGAATTATTCACTTACTTAATAACTCTTCAAGATTCATATTAATATATGCTCTAAATTTTTGATAATCTTTAGATGAAAGATTACCATCTTCGAATAATTGGTCCATGGTTAAATTAAGTTTAACGCGTGTTGTTCCCAAGGAATAAATAATATTTATTGGAGTGCATTGCAATACATATCTATATAAATCTTTATGAGCAATATTCATATCAGTGAACCGTAATTTGAGCTTTACTAGTACGTGAAATAAAATATGTCCATTTTCAGGTATATATAAAGGTGGGTTTTCGCTGTCGGGTCGAACAAGTTTTTGGTAAGGGTCTATAATTGGTAAGAGGGGAAGTTTCGAAAATTTTTCAAAGTCAATATATTTGGCGGAATTAAATTTTGACCAGATTTCGCCGAGCCATTTCTCATTTGGTATTTCATTGGGATCAGGATTCCAATCCCATTCATCCTCTAGATTTGGAAACATTAACGACAAAAGATCCAAAACGGCATCAGCGTCAACATCTTTAATTTGTTTAAGTACGGGAAAATTTTACTGTCTAAAAATATTCACTAGTTCTTTTGGTAATTCAACAGAGACGAACCTTGATAGACCAACTTTTGGGAACAATTTTAGAACTTTTTGTTTACCAATGTAATAAACTTCACCAAATTTTCCAATAGAACCATCATTTAACGGAATTAATGGCAATCCATTAAGATTTTCAAAACATTTATTCTTAATAAGAATAAACTCAAGAAACTTGACTAATAAATCATGATCCTGAAAAATTTCTTTCGCGTTCTCAGAATTGGAAGATGAAAATTTCTTTTGTAATTCCTCGCAAACCAATTGTCCACTGATATGTGTGTAATTTAAAAGATTATTAGATCTAGCAGACATAAGTTTATCAAGTTTGTCTTCTTCAAGTTTTATTGCTGGTACTCCTATCTTGGCTAATACTTCTACAATCTTTGGTTCTTTTCCCTCAAAAATTCTAGCCGTTTGTAATGAAACAAATTTCCCGCCATTAGCTTCAGTCCAGAAAATTCTATGCTCACCCAGACCTAGCTTTATAATAACTTTTAATCCGTATTCTGTATAAAATCCCATATTTAAATTATTCTTAATTGGCCAATAATGATTTAAAGTATTTGGTGTAAAATTTGTTGTAAATTTCTCGCGTCTAGCTTCTTCAAGCTCTACAATTCGTCCAAGTAGGTTAGCATGCAAATCAGGCAAAACTTCATTTAGAATATATCGATTCCATTTCGCGTCAACACAATCAGCTTGCAAGAAATCTTTCTCGGACTGTAGAACATTACTTCTTGAACTAGATAAAGAAAAATTTCCATTTAAATGTACACCCAATTTGGTAATTATTGATAAAGATAAGAAAGAAAAGATTTCTCCTTCTAGTTCGGGTGGATTTGGAAACTAAAATGCATAAATTAAATATATTGTTTTCAATATTAATCAATTTGCAGAATGCCGATAAATAAATAATAAATCCTTTTGATACTTTACCAATTCGGCAAATAGTTCTTTCAAAGATTTTTTATTAGACTTAGCGAGCAATAAAGCAACTCCACCTCTTGGCTTTATTAATGAAAGTTTAATTATTTAATGAGTTATTCGAATATTACTTATGTTTTAACATATTTAAATATGATTTTGATTACCTTGAGATGATTTTCGATCGAAAAATTTTCAAATTCTGGATTGATTTTTTCATGTCCTCCTGTACAAAGTGCCCATACTTCCAAAACATTTTCGTTTTCAGTACTATCAAATTTCTTAATATCTAACGCAAACTGATATATATGAAATGTATCAGTTATCCTTTTACGAATATCGCGATGATTATCTTTTATCTTAATTTGCGCTTGCCATATTAGTTGAGGAGCTGGTTCTTGTTCTTTTATGTTATATAGATTAAAGGATTCTATATTCCTTAAAAAGATCATCTCTTTATTACCCTGGACACTATTAAATAGTTGCAAGATTTCTTTGATTTCTATAATTCGATTCGAAATGTCACTTATTTCCGTTCTAAGTGGAAGTCTGAACAATGTTCCTTTGAATTGTTTTGAAAAATCGCAACTCTCTATCGCCTCATAAGGATAACATTGATCTGGAAAACGCCTCTTAAATTCCTTTTCAATAAAATTAATTCGGAAACCCTTTCGTTTTATGGGAGGATACCCTATTGATGGAAGAAATTTTGCATGTGGATCTAGAAATACAATATGCTTTCCACTTACAAGGCTAGGTAAATCTGTAATATTAAAGGCACAATTGAATCCAAGTCCAAACCTTCCGATTTTATTGATATCTTTAGATTTTCCTCCAACTCCAAGTTTTATCAAAGCCTGAAAATCATCCTCAGAAAATTCAGCATCGTTATATATCCATATTGCAGGACCTTGCCAACTATCCATTTCGTCTGACAATAAAGATTTTTTAGAAGCTTCGTGCTGAAATTTCGGTCTTTCATCTAATATTACCGAAAACCGTGTGGCTTTAGCATCATCTGCATTCTACATTGTAGAAACCAAATATATCGTTTAGACATAATATTTATTTTGAAATGATTGTATACTTCTTTACTTACTTGAAGAAATTCTGCAAATAATCGATTTAATGGATAATCCTAACAATTTACAATTTTAAATATTTTTACGGATTAATAAACAAATCATTAAATTAAATGGTTACCTTCGGTATAATTATTACCTATTAATTGAGATAAACATTGATTTTAAAATTTATTCTAAACTACTACTATATTCTGTATTTACCATATATTTTTCCTGCTAAATGTTGTATTTCCAATTCTTTTGCCACGTCTTGGGTTATAAGTTCATGAGTAATATGATCAATTTTATATTTATTCATCTCCTTTTCATCAAATGTATCTCCCATTTCATTAAAATAAATTTCATGCAAATTTACAAGTTCATTCTTGTTGCTTGGAATTAATAATCCATCCAAGTTTTCCGGATTATTTCCTCCTCTCCTAGAACTTCTCTGTATTTTGGAAATTTGTTCAAGTATTTGAATTATTTGAAAGATATCGTCTTCGGATAGATTTCTGTTCACATTTTCTATACTTATATTCTTAATAATCAAAACTAAGTCCTTGATTCCGACCTCTTCTCGAACTCCCATAGTTTTAAATAAAGGCATGAATTCGCTTGTATATCTTATTGGAAGTTCAACAATTAAGAAATTTTCAACTTGAAATTCTCTTTGAAGACGAAAAACAACTTTATCAACTGAATAAAATGTCTTTTTACACAAAATCCACGGTTTGTTTTCCAAAACCTTCTTCATCTTATTGAAACCTTCCTTTGAATTCTTATCATTTACTTGACAAATTTCATTCATATATTTGTAAATCGCGTGACAATACTTCTCTAAATTCTTTTGTGGTTTCTTTTTAAATACTCCATCGTAACATAATTCATACTGTTTTATAACTTTTTCAACATCGGGATAAGTATTCCATTTCAAATGATTTAAAAAGTTGTTGTTCTTAACTTCAGATTCAAGTATTGGAGCAAACAGACAAACTAAATCTTTATCTTTTTGACAATGGCAATCTTGAGGTTTCGAGAAGAATTTCTTTCCGGATTGATCAACCGTAGGGATCCATTCATGTTTTATAATAGTTTCTAATAATGAGCTATTATTTTTATTTAACTGATCCCAATTATTGTCAATATATTCAAAAAGTCTAAGTGCATTGCAATGAATCAATTCTTCTTGAACTTTAGAATTTTTTCGTTCTAATATAGCATTAATTCTATTAATTACGTCAAATGAAGTAAGGGTTGTTTTCAACCCTAATAATCTCAATCCAGTGAGGAACTTTTTAGAAGACGAATATTTGCCAGCAGGAAAGACCCGTTCGTTTTCAAAAAATATATCAGCCACAGTCTTTTCTGATGGATCAAATAATCTGGTTGGTTTTTCTGACTCTATTAAGGCAGGCATTTGTTGTTGCTGCGACATTTGAAATGTGCCAAAAGGTACAAAAGAAGTTTTTCCAAGGACATTTTTTAAATTTGCATCATCAAGTAAGGATGGTAATATATCAAAAAGGGCATCGATTACTGTGTCTAAGACTTCTTGCGGTTGTGGCTCGAGATACGGTATTACATATTTTTGCCAATAAGCATGTGATTTTAACCGTTGAATTTTAATAATATCTTCCAGTATAAATCGTAAATTTTGTGAACTTGTACTAAGAAATTCTCCTTTATTGCTTGGACAGATAATTTTACCATATGAAATTTCTTCATTACGAGGAAGAAGTAACCAATTTGTATTTCCAGGCAATAACGGAATTGATGAAGTATGATCAACTTTGATAAAAATCGGAAGGTGCTTAATAACCCTAACAAGATTCTGCACAAGATCCTTTTTATTAACAAGTCTTAAATAATTTGATAAATATTCAACGAGCGCCGATGCTTCATCAATGTGTAAAGCGTGATTCAAATTTTCTGGAAATGAAGTATCGGCTCTGAGAGAATTAAGAACCGATATAATATTATTAGGCTTCATAATATATGGTGATAACCTAATAAAGAAAATAAATAAAAAAAAGGTAGAAATTATATTAAGTTTGTTTAATCATAATGCAAAGGTAGTTTCAATTCAGAAATACTTACTTATTCCATTCGGCAATTTCTTCAAATTTATCTTCCACGAAAACGGTACCAAACTTTTCAAAAATAGAAGTTAAAGTCGTTCGACCGGAAAAAATTCTTTTAGGAGTATTTAACTTTCTGAGAAAGGAGCGATTTGTTGGAATTAAATGAAAATTTTCAAATCTTTTCAAATCCCAATTTCTAAATTTCAGGTTATTCCATAATTTATAAATCCAATCACGATTAATTGGCATTGGCATCTCTTCAGAATTTGCATTTTCTGCAGAATTCAAAGTGGTTTCAATCATATTGCCAACGACACTTTCATCCAAGATTCTAATATTAAGTTTCCATCCAGCTTCTGCATACTTGTACAAACTTTTATATAATTCGGAACCAATTGATTTGTCAATAAATTTGCTCAATTGATTTTCAAAAAGATCGAGTTCATCATCCTCATTACTTTCATTGGGGACAATATATACACAAGAATTGTCGAGTTGCAAAGTACCAAATGTACCATCCGCGAGTGGAATCATTTTAAATCCTTTTAATTCATCAAAATTATTGTCCTTTAATACATACTCAAATAATAGTAAGACATTACTTCTTGACAATTTATCCTGCCATCTATTACGATTAAGTTTTAAATAATTACGAACAATGGAGGGAGAAAATAATTTAAGCGAATACTTATGCTTAGAATTTTTCAAGGCTTCGATTATGAGAGGAGATGCTGACATAACAGGAAATCCAATATTTCTAATTATTTCAGGCAAAGAATTATACAATCTTTCATCATCTAAATATCCACTAGAAATTGATAACCAATCAAATTGGGAACCTTTGAATGAGGATGCATCATAGGGATTTGCCAAAACTCCAATGGAAGGAGGTCCCTTGAAAACATAATCTTTATCACTAAGATTTTCTATGACATTTTGTAATAGATCTCTGCAAAAAATATTTGTGACACTTGAGTCTCCTTTAATTATTGGCCAGAAGTTGGATAAATCTTCAGAATGAATATTAGGTACATTACGAGAAATCTCGCAAAGAAATTTTACCCAAGCTTTGGGTAATACCTTTTCAAATAAATATTGATTCCATGACACCTTCATGCTTGCTAATGCACCAACCGCCTATAGTTCAATAATAATTTGTTTTTGGTTTTTCGTTTATAAGATAATATGATAAATATGGAAATAAATAATACCAAGTCTTCATTCTCCGCAGCCGACCATAAAGAACGTCGACTAGTATTAACCTATTAAAAATTAAAGGAAAATAAAAATTTTAGTACTAGAAATCATAGTCATCATGTCAATATAGAAATCTTACCGCGAAATATCCGTGCACGGAAACAGGAAAAGGCATATGAATGGGAAGGGGTAAAAAGCAAAATAATTTTCCTTTATCTTTTATATCTTTTAAAGGAATGGCTAAGCCAACGTTAGGAATAAATTTGTGATCTCTTATATTTTTTTTAAAGTTTTCGTGAAAATATTCATCCGTTTCAAGTAAGTCATCAAGATAATTCAAAATTAACCATGAACTTTTCTCGGGATCATCATTTTTTTGACGGCAAAATGATGCAACGTAAGATGTAACTAATTGATTGTTGCCTTTAAGTTGACCCAATTTTAATTTGGTCATCATTGGTCCAATTTTTTCCGCTAACAGACGACGTTGTTCTCGAACCTTGTCAGCATTTTCCAGTTCAATAGTATATAACGATTCAAGTTTTGTGGCGTCCTTTTTTAATTCATAAAAAGAAATACGCTCAATATATTTTAAAAACAGTAAGCAATTAATGCTTTCATCATTGTAAAATTTATGAAACATGTCCAAGATTTCTTCAGGCTTATAAACTTTATTAGAAATTTCCGAATCAGCAGAGTCCTCTTTAGTACGTAGAGGATAACGAAATATGGTGCCGTCAAATGGTTTATCACACGGGATATTAAAAGGGGCAAATTGGTCAGGATATCTTTCGGACAATTTCTTTTCGACAAATTCAAATCTGATGCCACCATTAAAACACCATTTATGTGGATCAAGAATAACGTATTTATCACCAGTGATGAAAGATGGGGAGTCAGTAATATGATAAATTGAATTGAAACCGACACCCATCACTAATTTTTTTTAAAAAAAAATAAAAAATTAATATAAACAAAAGAAAATAAAATAAAATAAATAAATAAAATTACCTCCAATCTTATCATATTGATCGCGTTTTTCACTATCAGCCAATTTCAACAAAGATTGAAAATCCCTTTTTCCAAAGGTAGAAGTATTTTTTGCCAATAATGCTGGACCTTGATATCTATCAAGTTTCAAATTTGGTCGTTGAAGATTTTTAAAGGTAGCTTGAAGCAAGCTGTTCGATTGATAAGTATTATGATCCAAAATGAAAATTTGCTCAGTGCTCCCGGCATCATCAGAATTCTGAAGAATTTCACGAATAACTTGTGAACCATCAGGATATTCTTCCTCAAGAATTTTACGTAAACGGTGAGTATAAGGTTCATAAGGACTAAATTCCGTTCCAATATCAATATCTTGCATCTTTGCGTCAAAAATATCAATATCAAAAGGAACTTTATATTTGATACAAGTTCAACAGCGACGAACTTTGAGGAAAAGAAACAGCTGATTAAATTTAAAGTCATGTCTATAGGGGGCTTAATCTTTGAAAACAAATACAAAATTAGTGATTTTTCAAAACGGATAAGATTTATTACGCAGTGTGACACAGCACAGTTTTTCTTCGCGTACTGGCAAAAGCTTAATTCAGTTAGGTGAACTAGATGATCAACATGTAACCAACGAACAATGTCAAATTTTATGTTTATTATTTGGTTGCATAAATAAAGAGTCACGAGAACACAAGATCAACTCGGCAACCGATAAAAATTTCTCGTGTAACAGAGAAAATTATTTTTTATTGAACTGACGTTGTTGTGGTCATTAAATAAAATTTTATACAAAATTATTTATACAACCACATTATATCCAAAAGGGTGTTATTTGATGTAAGATTTAGCAGAATAGATTAAAAAACCAGTCCCGGTAATTAAACGTCCAACAACTAGCTTACGAATGAGATTTTCATAAAACCAATTGACTAAAGGAACGCTTTGAATAAGACCTTCAAGGGTCCAACTATCTTCTTGTTTACAAATGTAGAGAAGTCCATCGTTTTCTTGATGAAACCTAAGTGTTGTTATAGAAGGTACGACAAAATGGATTAAGGGAAATATTCTTGGACGTAAATGTTGCTTATAGGAAACCACGGCCATGGCTCCACTACACAAAAGAAATTACTTTTAGTCGAAGCTCAAATTTCACGCTTTATGAAAGTGATTTAAACAATTCAAAGGCGAACATACTCGAAAATTATATCCTCTCTTTGGAATTCAGGTTCTTGTTTATTGAAAGTAGTCCAAACACGAAAAACCTTACGAATATTATGAGTGCCATTAACAGTCAAGAACGGATGGGATAAGGCTGCGTCATCAGTGAAATAATGATCTAACACTCTTTTATATGCTGATTCATCATAAGAAAGAAGATCCACAACAATATCTAAGATTTACAAAAGAATTAATTATTAATCAATTCCTTCAATTCGTTTTGCAAATTTGTAAAAATATTTACCAGGTATAGTTTGCTCAAGGAAAAGAGGATTCATGTTGTTAAAAAAAATTTAATACTTTCGTAAAGTTGTTAAAATAAAAAAAGGGGAGAGAGAAAAATGTTTACTGGATTTTATAAAAAAAAATATTATTTTATTTTTTTCACATGTTTATCCCATGATTTTCGGAGTTACGCATCGGACAATCGTTTACCATGTGTGAACAGAATGAACATTTCTCGGGGGTCTTTTTTGAGGTATTTTTTTCCCCTAAAATCCGTCCTCCTCTTGTAAAATGATTGGTTCACACTAAAGTTTATTATTAGATCGACGTTAAATAGAAGAAATTTGTTTCGGTTGCCCTTTAAGTTTTTCTTTCGTGATGTAAACATTAAGAACCATGATTCACAAAAGAATATGACTTCTTTAGAGGTGAATTCATATCGACCAAATGAATATCATATTTGAATACATTAAAGCTAATAAAGTATTTGATTTCAATCATTGCTAAATGTCTTCCTGGACAGCCTTATTCATCATGTACATATATTGAAAAATGTCGTTCCTTTCTCCATTTCATATTGGCTACCACATCAAGTTCACTATTTGATGATTGACGAGCATATTTTTTCACAACAGCTTCACAAAATTCCAGTTTATCGCCAAGGTGAGTGAACTTTTCTCGATCGTGGAATTTGGTGGACTTAATAAACCATCAATTTCTTAAATAAGACGTTGAGGATATTTACTCGGATAATAAACTATAAAACATAAACGATTCAAAAATATTACACATGATTTAATGGTCTGGAATTTTCGTCTTTTTCTACTCCTTTTCTCGTTTCTGGCCTCCGTTACAATCTTCAATATTTCATTCTTTATCCAACAATTGAGGAACATAATTCCTTTAAAATCTCGGTATGAAATAAAACAGTGAAATGCAAATTCTTATCGCGTCAATGAATTCTTCTGAATCACATAATGTTTTTGGAACCTTTGTTTCATATCTTTTGAGTTGACAAGTCAATTATCATATCATGTCGTGAATCTTTGAAAGGTCATAAACGATATTTTCTGTTGATGATGATGATGATGATGATGATGATTTAAAATCTTTATCAGGGTTGTCCCAATATTGTTCCATCTCATCCAATGTATTTTTGGTATATTGAACGAAGGAATCAAGGTCTGTGTCTATTAAATCTCCAATCCTTCGTTAACGGATCTAATCATAAATGGTGATTTTGTAGATGAATAAAAATGTTGTTTCAATCAAATCGCTTCTATTTAACCAAACGTGTCTTTCCGATCCAACATATATTTCAAAAATATATCAATATTTTTTTTGTAATAGAAGGAATATTTCCTGATAATATAAGATTATGAATATTTCCAATTAATGAAAGAGGCGGAAAGTTGCTTCTTGTAATATAATATGATACATAAGAAATGATAATTATTGTGAAATTGTAGCCATTTCATTAACCGTGGTCAATGATAGCATTGACATTTTAACATCGCAAAGAGGGTTAGGATTCTCCGAAATTTAATATGTAGCATTACGTGATTAATTAATTCAATCTCTTATTATTCCAAATATAGTTGGAAGTTATGAATTCGTGTGACATTAGAGATGAAATTATATTATTGTAAAATTAATTGTTCATTACAATTTTATTATGTATTATGGTTATCATGCTTCTGTTAATCTAATTTAAATGTGTATAAAAATAAGGTTATATATATATTAGGACATGAGTTCTCAAGTTGGTCTTCTGCATAAATTAAAAAAATTTAAGGTTTCAGCCCATGTCAAATGATCTTGAGAACATGCACGATATAAACAATCTGATGTCATATCTACGAGATTTCGAGCTGTTCGAACCTCTTTTTTTTTTTATAAATTGACCAAATTTTAACCCCAAAGAAATAATTCGCAACTTGACTCCTCCTTTGTTTATATGAGCAAATTGTAATTTTGTAAATCGCTTTTGTTATAACTGCGGTATAATTCATATTTAGATATTCCATCAAAATTACTTAAGATGGTACTAATTTTATCTTCATTTGGTTCGATTTGGTATTTACTAAAATCAACTAATTTAATGGGAATTTCTTTTCGCCAGCAGATGTTCTATTTGTTTTAAAAAACTTTTTTTTGATTTTAAGTGTATCAATTCTAAATTTTTATATTTAAGTATGGTAAAATCCACGTAAAAGCAATTTTTCAAAATTTGGTAAAAAAAAAATTTAATCTCGACATATATATAATATAGATCATATTTTGACCTTGATCACGTGACTAAACAAAAAAATGGGTGAAGGTGGCGTCTTAGCGGGTGTTATACCCACAGTGTATAATCCTGAAAATCCTATACCACTTTTTATTATTCAGGTAATATTAAGATGCATTTTTTCCACAATCTTTATCCTGGTCATGTTTTTAAATTCAATCAAATTTCTTGATATATAGGTCGTATTGATAATTACTTTTACACGTCTTCTTAATGTGGCATTATCTCGTTTCCGTCAACCTCGTGTTATTTCCGAAGTCATTGGTGGGATTATTCTTGGTCCTTCAGTATTTGGTCAAATTCCTGGTTATATGAATACTATTTTCCCCGAAGAATCTAAAGCTATACTTCATCTTACGGCAACGTTGGGTTTGGTTTTCTTCCTATTTATCATCGGAGTTGAGATGAACCCAAAAGCGATAATTAAAAATGCAAGGGCTGCCATCAGCATTTCGGCTGGTGGTATTATCACATGTTTCGCTTTGGGATCTGCCGTAGGTTTCGGATTATATTCTCAATTCACTGATAAAACTGCAAAATTTTCAAGTTTTATATTATTTATTGGCGTAGCGATGTCAATTACTGTAAGTTTTTGTTACCTTGATATCTTTATTTAGGAAAAAAAAATAATCCTTATTTATTTATTTAGGCTTTCCCCGTCCTTGCTCGTATTTTATCAGAACTCCAATTAATTCGTTCTCCGGTAGGAATAGCAGCATTAACCGCTAGCGTTAATGACGATGTGGTCTCGTGGATTCTATTGGCATTGGTCGTTTCTTTGATTAATTCGACAAATAACCTTACGGCTCTCTATGTTTTTTTGCTCTGCTTTGCCTGGGTTTTGGTGGTTGTCTTTATTGTTCGTCCAATATTACTCAGATTTATTGTTAAAACTGGTAGCAATGATAATGGTCCTACCGTTACCATGATGGCTATTACATTGGGTTCTGTACTCATTTCTTCTTTCGTGACTAATATTATTGGTGTTCATGCAATCTTTGGTGGTTTCATCATGGGTGTTATCATACCACATGAAGGCGGATTCGCTGTTGGAATCACAGAAAAAATTGAGGATTTGGTCAACGTTTTATTTTTACCTATCGTAAGATTACATATTTATGTTGATTTTCTTTCTAAAGCTTTACTATTACTGGCAGATTAATATATTCATTATTATTATTATTATTTTTTAAAAAAAAAAAAAAAAGTATTTTACTCTCTCAGGATTGAAAACCAATTTGAGTTTATTAAATGATGGAAAAGTCTGGCTTTGGGTTTTTATAGTTATCACATGTGCAATGATGGGTAAGATTGTTGGAGCCGGTCTCATGGCAAGATTTAATGGATATAAATGGAGGGAAGCTTTGACGATTGGAGTTTTTATGAGTTGCAAAGGGTGAGTAAACAAATGTTCTTCTTAAACTTATTGATTAAACGTCTAACTTTGATTTGCTTATTGTCTTGACAATTTTACAATTCTGCAAATCGACAAGTTCAATTTTAGATGTAAAACTTTAACATATTTTTATAATACAAAGTCTTGTAGAATTGATCGTACTTAACATCGGATTTGATGCTGGAGTTATTAATGATAGGATCTTCGTTATTATGGTTACAATGTAGGCAATTATTTTTTTTCCGAATTATAGTTAGTAGTTTCTAAAACCATTTATCAACTTTTTAAACAGGGCTATCTTTACAACATTCACAACATCTCCGTTGGCTACTTGGATTTACTCAAGTGAATATCAAAAAGCGATGGAGATGAAGAGGATCGAACAAGAACCATCAGTTGATGAAAGAACTCTCACAGTTTCTCGTGAATCTGCAGATACTTTGTTCGATAAGCACAGGAAACTATTGGTTGTACTGAACAAGGCTGAATGGTTGCCAGCCATAATGACCTTGATACAATTGTTACAACCTCCACCTACATCAACTGTTGGTAGAAAAGAAAATGAAAGACAAGAAATTGGTTCATCCACTTCACCACAAATCACTTCACCAACCGTAGTAGAGCAAAGTAGTAATCAATCATTTATCGTCCATGCGTTGAGAATTATTGAACTTACACAACGTCTTTCAACTGTGATGAAATTCAATGAAACCGAAGAAACAACGTTGCATGATCCAATCATGAACATATTCCGTATGTTCGGTTATTTGAACTTCGTTTATATCAAAGCCAATCTATCGGTTGTTCCTATTCAATACTTTGCTCAAGAAGTTGCTGAAAATATTAAAGATACAGGTTCCGATATGGTTATCATACCGTGGAATGGTGCGGGTGCCATTATTGATGATCCCGCTAATCCTATTGAAGAAAGACTTGGATATAGGGAAAAGAAAGACACAAGTCCACAAGTTGCTCAGTTTGTTCATGGAGTTTTCGATGAAGTCGATGTGACTGTCGGCTTTTTAATTGATAGAGGACTTGGAGTGGACATCCCAAGGTCATATCATAGTTCTTCAAATGGGATATCTATAAATGTTTATCTTCCCTACTTTGGAGGAGTTGATGATAGAGAAGCTTTATCGTTTGTCGTTAGATTATTAAATCATCCGCATGTTACTGTAACTGTAGAGCGAATAAGGAAATCAAATGAACCTACAGATAATGATACTACGTTAAAGAGGACAGATTCATTAGAAAACAAGTTAAATGTTAAGGATGATTTCGAAAGTGTTATACAACGACCACCTCTTGCACATCAAATTTCAACAGCTTCAACGTATATTCTTAATTCAAACTTGGATCGGCAAATATCTGATGAAGCTGATGATTCATTATTGTCAGAATTATTCAATGTAAGAACTGGCTTATTAATAAACAATTCCAGGATTATTTATCAAGAAATTTCTTCTGGGACACCTCTACAAACAGCTGTTGAACATGGCAAGGGATTGGTTACAAAGAAAGATTTGGTAGTAGTAGGTCGTGGACGCCGCGATGCGATTGTAAATCATCGAGAAGAATTTATAGAGGTGTTGAAGAATTTAGGGATGAGTTATGGAAATAACACAAGGAAATGTTTAGGTGATTTAGCTGAAGCTTTTCTTGTTAGTCAAATTTCATCTAGTGTGCTGGTTATACAAGGTAGCAAAAAGAATATATAATCAACGAGGAATTTTACCCATCAGTATATAGTTTATGAAAAACTTTCTTAATTTAAAATTTTATCTTTTTTCCTTCTCATACAATTCTCAAAATTATTTAATTTATCCAAAGTATTTATTCATTTATCTCTTTCCATTCAATTAATAAAATTGATTATGTATCTAATTTCATAATTCCTAGAAATTTTCATTCAAATATCCGCCATCATAAAATTATCCAAAATACGCTGATTTGGTTGTAAAATATTAGTATTTTGATCAGATCATTACATTTTTTTGTCGTTTTTTTTTTTATTATGCAATTGTTTAATTTAAGCAACCAATTAATTTTTAACCAGGTAATGACGTTATTTTTTAAATTAATTTTAACTCCGGCCGAAATTTAATTTTCGGGCAGAATTAAGATTTTTTGTGATTACAAAATTTCACTAGTTCTGCCTAAATTTATAGTGCCGGCCTGAGTTAAATTTAACCGGTTAATTGACTGGTTAAGGTTTTTTAGGCCGTTAAACTTGAAGATATTGTTGTGTTGATAAATTTTATTTGATTGTTTGTCCAAAAAAATCAAAGTAAAAAGAATACTTGAACATAACTGAATGATTTTTTAAATTTTTTATTAAACAAAAATTTTACAATACCAGATGTTTGATAATTTATTAAAAGGGCTCATAAAACTTCGGTTTATATAAATCATATTATTAAACATCATCCAAATATAAAAAATCTCCGTTTTTTGTTGACGTGTAATTTTGGAACTTGTTATATGCTTATTGAAACAAATCATTAACATTATGTGCTGGTAATAAATAATTATAATGGAAGGCAAAAGGAATTCATTATCAATTAATTATATGCCGAAAATTTATAAAGATTTTCAGTAGTCATTGCTTATGAAGCAGATAACTTCTCTTTTTCCGCATAAAAACAACTCTGCGAAAAACCTCACGAAATAATCGAATATTATAAATTCCACAACTTGTTACTCATTTCATGTCACACAAACTTTTGTCTTACATACAAAACATTTATATTTAAATTTTTTTTCCTCTCTGTATCTAGATATGTCAAGAAGAAGGCAACGTAAAGTTCAACAACAATCATCAACCTCACTTTTAAAAGAAACAAAAGAGAATGATGATCATATTTCCTCCATAACTCAACTGTGGACGTTACCTAGAACAACCTTATTATTAATCACACCAATTTTAACCTCAACAACTCTTCAAATATCTCCACGATATATTGAACCGGTTTACGGAAATGTATTCTCATCAATTTACTTTCTTCAAACAGCTTTTGCTTCAATACTTTTGGGAATTTCAATTGGAATTGGATTTGTAATTAAATCGAAGGAGAATTCTCCTACAATTAAAGATCAAAAATTAGCAAAAACTTTAATATTCGGAATTGATTTGTGCGGAATTATACTTGCTTTATCTCCATTAAACATTAAAATGTTGTTTGGACTTAGTGATATGCTTGGACCATATATTGGACCTCACGTAACACAACTTGGATTGGCCTATCCAACAATGTTTTTATTAGGATTTCTTAATACAATTGCTTGTGCTAGTTTATCAAGAGAACAAAACCTTCCGGTTCTAAGATGGGTTTCCTACATTGCTATGCATATTACTATAACTAAAACATTAACTTATGTTCTTTATAATGTTGTGGATATTGGCCAAACCTGTCATAGATTATGTTATTCGGGTTTAATAATGGCTTTAATCGGTACTCTCTTTAAATTTTTATTGCAAAATTATGGTGAAATTAATTTAGTCGAAGATATTGTTCAAAGACACAAAATATTGGTTGAAACATCTTTATCTTTTAAACTCCGTTTTGCGAGCTTTTTGTTATTACCACAAATCATTATTATATTACTTGTAATATATAATGCTAATTTTAATCCACATTGCAATTCTGGAATGTTGCAGGTTTGTCATTTAAACTTTATGAAAGTGGTCTAAAAGAATTTCAATTTGATTCATAAGTTGCGAAAATTTATATATATAAAGAAAACGATTGTAAACGGAACGGAATATACAATCCTCGCACGAAACGAGTCAATCACCGGATGGATTGAAGTAGTTGAGGAAATAAAACCTCGAAACATCCGTGTGATGCGTGTAGGACACTCTTTAATAGGCGGAATTTATAGAGACACAAATGATTCGGTATTTGGATCTTTTTATTTTTTAGAAGGTAGAATCAAAAAATGATCTAACCGTTTTAAATTGCCATAAAATTTCATTAAAATTCTTCCTTTATAATTCAGCTGTAAGGTTAATAAAAAACAGAAAAAAATCCGAACAAGAAAGAGCTCTTCAAATGTATGATTCAAAGATTTAATCAAATATTTTTTTATTATTTATATTAAGAGATATTTTTTTTTTTTAATTAATCAGTGGTTTAGGAATCGGGGTATCGTCAAAATCATTACAGGATCATAATGTTTTATTGGATATTGTAGAATTGGATCCTGTAGTTTATAACTTCGCAGTAAATTATTTTGGTCTTGAACCTAAACATAATATTTATATTCAAGATGGTAGAAAATTCATAAATAATGCACCTTCTCAATATTATGATTATGTTTTGCATGATGTGTTCACTGGAGGTTCAGTTCCTTCAGTTTTATTTTCTATTGAAGCTTTAGAACAGATTAAGAGAATTCTTAAAGAGAATGGTGTTTTGGCTTTGGTAAGTATTTTTTTTATTATTATTATTAAGATCAATTCGTGCCTTTATTTTTTAAAAAAAAAATATATATATATATATTTATAGAATTTTGTTGGATCTGACAAATGGCCACAAGCTGAAAGTTTAGCATTAGTAGCAAATACCATTAAAGCTGTATTTCCATATTACAAATGTTTTAGAGAAGGTCCATTAGGAAAGGAATCATTTCAAAATATGGTATCTGTATTTATTTGTATTATTCTTCTAAAATATCGTTAATCAAAGTAAAACTTTATATTAAAAACTATTTTTAATTTTATTAAAAGGTCTTTTTTGCTTCAGATAGATCGATTTCTTTTAGAAATCCCACGTACGAAGATTTTATGGATAGTGCAATGAGAGAATACATGTTGGGAAGTTTTACGCAATGGTCAGTTGATTTAACAAAATTTAAGAATGTAACTAATATTATTACAGATTTACGTAATCCTTTGGATGAATTACAACAATTATCTGCTTTCGAACATTGGAATGTTATGAGGACTATATTTCCTCAAGAATTTTGGATTAATTTTTAAAAATTCTTTTATTCTTTTTTTGATGAGAAAATTCGTCATTACTTTTATCATGTAAAAATAATAATAATTATAATAATTATCATTAATAAATTAAAAAGAGTATCTTATCTTTAAAGTTGTCAGGTAATTTGATGATTTTGCTATATGCTAGAATTAGAAAGATATAAATTCTTATATAATATTTAAATAAGGAATTATTATGACTTAAATTATAAAATATACATATATATTATCGTTATATATTATTAAATGTGAGGATCACTCATTTTATTCATTTATTTGACATATGGGAGGCGGTCAGTAGAAAAGGGGGAAATCCAAATTTTGGTCAAAATTTATATTATTGGACCACTTGGCTGATCTCAGTCATGTGCACAAAATTAGCTTAATAATTAAAATTAACAAAAATTTTGGATTTCCCCCTTTTCTACTGACCGCCTCCCATATTATAACCCTTTTAGAATCTTATAAAATATAGAGAAAAATTTGCTCTCATATAAATATAAGTAGCATCACTACAATAAAGTTAAAAGTCAATCGTTTTCTTGATTACTATTTATTTAAAAAATCTGATATAATAAAAATTGATAAAATAAATTAATATTAATTATATTAAAAATAAATAATTTTATTATAATATTTAATAAAATTTATAAAAAAATTTAGATTTATTTTAAATATCTAAAATTGTTATCTTGAAACTTATTTAAATTTTAAAATTTTAAACCAAGTTTTCATATTAAATTTAAGATATTACATATCTCAATTATATAAAATATAGAATATTATAATATTTAAAATTTATATAAAAATTAAAGTAATCTATCAATTAATAGATTTATTAGATTAAAGAATAATATAAATAAATATATTGTATTAAGAAAAAAAAATTTACTAAAAAAAAAAAAATATTAAGCAATTCTAAAGATTCCAATAAAATTTTTAGTTTTAAGAAGATTTTAATTTACTAGTAGTATTTTTACTTTTTAATAATAATATATTAATAATATATTTATTAAAAAATAAATAATAAATTTATTTAAAAATTCAGAATCTTTAATTTTAAAATTTAGAATTAAATTTTAAGAAAGAATTCCAACTTAGAGGTTTTATGAAATTGTTGATTACTTTTATTTTAAAAATTATTCTAATAAGATTTATATTATTTCTTAAATTGTATAACAGGCAAATTTACCTATGAAATTAAAAAAAAAGTATTAATTTCTTTATAAAATATTAATATTAATTTAGTAATAACATTATTATATAAAATATAATTTAATATATATATTTATCAAATTTATTAAAATAATTTAATATAAAATTAAGTTTCAAAAATTTTTATTATAATAATATTTAAAAATTTATATATTTGTGTATACTTAATAAATTATAAAAAGTTTATTATAGATTAATCATAAAATTTTTTAATATAATTTTTTTTAAAAATTACAAATTTTAACTTCTAAGTAACTTTAAATTTTTTATTATATAATTAAAGATAAAATTTATTATAATATATTATATATTTATAAAAAAAATATTAATTATTTATAAAAGTAAATCAAAAGAGAATTTTCAGTAATAAGCAAGCAAATTTGTCTGTAAGATCTTATAATCTTAGTTATTAGATTTTTTCTATAATTAGAAATTTCTAAATTTATTCAAAATCTATTAAAAATAATAAAATTGGTAATTTATTATCATTAAAAATCTAGTAATTTCGGTTTTTTATTATAAAAATAACTTTTTCTTTATTAATTTATAATTAAATTATTAAAATAAATTTATTTTTATTAATGCTAATTCATCATAACTCATATTAGTAATATTATTCTGATTCACAAAAATTTTAATTACTATTTATAATTATTTTTTTTGAAAAATTTTTTGAAAAGATTTAAATATATTAATTAAAGTTTTATTTTATAAAATTCTAATTTCTATAACAAATTTAACATAAATTAAAGAAATCAAATCTATTATAATATATATAGTCTGAAACATAAATATTCAGAATTTATTGCAACAAATAGAAATATTGTAAATCTTATTTTATTAGTTTCATATTTATGCTATTTGTAGATTATAATATACAGTAGAACTCCTAATGAGTCGAGTTGACTCACGAGTCAAATGAGTTGACTTGAGTTTAAGTCAAGTCAAGTCAAAAATTTTCTGACTCATTTGACTCGAGTCGAGTCATTAGTCGAGTCGAGTCAATAAATTGACTTGACTCATTCAACTCGAGTTGACTCGAGTTGACTCACGTGAATTGAGGTTACATAAATTACCATTTTGGGAATTTTGTGTAATTCATTTTTGGTGATTTTCCAATTTTTCGATAGCCAAAATTTTCCTTTTAGAAACTAGTGTAACCATACATCTATATTTGGAATCTCGTGTAACTCAATTTTATTCAATCCCAGAATTCGAAAATATATCGGTTACGAAGCTTTAATTAAATATTTTTAACACGTTTTCTTGAATATCTCAGCGTCAAGTGATCCGTTAGAAATGCAACACATATCAGTTTGATGAGCGCATCTCGGCGAACACGATAGTGTAGATTTCACGAAATTCGGATCGGTAGATCTCGAGATAATGGCCTTCAAAGCCAAAAATCAATTTTCAACACATTTTCTTGAATATCTCTGCGTTCAGTGATCCATTAGAAATGCAACACATATCGTTTTGATGAGCGC